TCTGTGCAGGTGAATGAATTTACTAAATAAATCAAGAGAAACGCTCCGGGCTGCTCAGTCACTAATTACTGTTACTGTACTTTTATTACAAGTATTATACTGTAAAAACAACAGGCCGCATCCTGCTGCAGCTCCTGTGCAGAGCTGAATATTAAAGATGTGCAAACAACAGTATGTTTTCAGTCTCTTGCCACATCTGTAAAGACAGTAACATTTATTTAAAAGCTTGTACTTCAGTAACTCATCAGGAAGTACGGATTAAAGTACTGTAGTGTACTGTGATACTGAAAAAAATGTAAGAGAACAACTTCAGATCCTGAGTGTGTGAGGACAGAAGAATCAGCTTTATTTCAATTTTGAGGGATAAAATTTATATCTGAGTTTGATGGTTCTGTTCTCTTTGTGATTACAGGAGCTGCCCTCAGATTCAGACCTCAGCCCCCTCGAGTGACAGCAGACAGATCATCCAACATGTTCACATGTTAACTGCAAAATGAACTGATGAAAACAGTACAAAGGTTAACGTACCACATGTGCTGCAATGAAAGCTGCAGCTGTTTTATGAAAACAGTGCTTATTGCAATCAATTCAATTTTCAAAATTATTATTGCTCATCACAAAAATTATACAAATTCTTATCTTTGAACTAACCAAATCTGGAATTACAAAAGAAAAAAAATCTTTACTCAACGCAGGATTTGAGTCGCATCTTGTGTTAATTTTGCAAAGAAATCATAATACCTGACAACTTCCCATGCGCCACTCCCAACACTCACATCACTGATGGTGACTGAAACCAGCCCACTGAAGGAACAGTGGGCTGGTTTCAGTCATTATGCAAATATACTGTTTATAAGATTGGGGAAACCTGCAGTCAGCTGAGAGTGAAGAAGTCACCTGGATAAGTGACGAAACGTTTCTCCCACTGAAAACGCTACGTCCAGATGAACAGAATCAACTTTTGGGGATTTAGTTACCTGGATGACTGAGAATGCATCAAGACATTTAATTTAGTTCTGTCTGTTATTGTCCTTATCATCCTGGAGCAATTGTAACCACATCATTTTTTCAGGGATTAATAAAGTATTCTGATTTTGATCCAGGAGCTTTACTGACTTGATACGACGTTTTTATTTATTTTATTTTTTTTGAGCAGTACATTCATGTAAAGATATATTTTGTAATGTATTCATGTTTTGTGTTGTATCATGAAAGTTAGAAATAATAATAAAATAATAACGATTTAAAATAATTTTAAATTGTGAAATATTTGTAATTACTGTACATATGACGAGTGCAGTGTATTGAAAAGGCAGGGTTAATAAGATACAATGTATAAAAACTACATTCCAAAGTGAGTCTGTGTTGATCAACAAAACCTAGGATTCAAACATTCAGAATGCATTCTTTATAAATTAGGAAAAAGTCTGATGCTCACAGTGAAGGCGTTGGTGGCTCTGCATGGCTGTAGGTTCGAGTTACATGTTAAACCAAAGGAGGGGTTTTCTTCTGAAATGCTTAGATCCCGCTGAGTGTTAGACAATCAATGCCGGGAGCACTGAAGCTGGTTTTGAGGCATAAAATGGAACTTCTTTTGAAAACACCTTGTAGTCATTTTTCCTTTAATGTGACACATGTCTATTAATCTACAAAGCTGGCAGGGGGCACTGTCTACCTGTACACCTGCATGCAGGTACACAGACGATCTACATGAAGATGATCCTCTGAATGAAAGTCAGAGGGGATTTTTCTCAGTCTCACCCCCACCTGAAGCTCTTCATTTAACTTGAGGACAGCACCTCAGATGGACCGACCCGTGTTGTTTCAGCTCTGCTTTGCTTTCTGGGTCGGGATAGAGTGGACCGGAGCGTTGCAGTCCAGTTCGCAGTGGGGCGCGAACACGAGCATGACGAGGAGAGATCGGTCAGTTAACGGCTCGGTGGTCCTCCACGACTACATGGTGTTTTTATACCAAACATTGTCCAAACCTCAAAGCAGAGACTTTGATGTTTCAGACGGAGCAGGAGCTGCTAACACAGTTACAAGTTTTGTGGACCAAGGACAAGGTTTGACACCAATTTAATTCACTTTCCCTCAAAATCCTGCCTAAAAAACTGAATGTTCTAGTTTTATTACATCTATATTTGGTGTTATTCTGTTTTAAACAACCATATTTCCATTGTTGACACAGATTACTAAATGTATCACTGATTTTTAAAGTTAGTAAAGAATTTAAAGTTAGTAGAAGTGATTATTTATGCGGGTTTTTGCTACGTTGTGACCATCAGAAGGTCTCATCTCCAGGTTTACAGTTTTCATTGCCATTCACTCGCTGGGCTCTCGTCCTCATTTTTGGTTTGACAGCGTTTCAGTAGACAAAGGTGAACGGCTTAGACATGAACTGAGCTGTGGTTTGGGGAAAGCTCTGCTTTGCTTTCTGATTCTACACAAAAGCAAGAACGAATAGCTTGTAGAACGGGGGGTGGGGGTGTCGGTCACATATAGATAAGGGCCAGAAGGGGCGTGTTTGGAGGCGTGGTTCCGCTCCTGAAAATTTGATAATTTATCTCAAATTATCTAAATCCTCCCCTAAGTCAGCCTGAAAAACTTTTAATAGATTTGAAATCCATGAATGAATCCACCTACACCAACACATCAGCTTTATCATTTCAGCAGCATTTTAGTGCATTTCTTTCTCAACTTCCTGTTTTTGTTAAACGGGTTTAACAACAGGAATGACATTTGTAAATATCATTCCTGTTTAACATCACCCAGTTCCCTTTATGATGTTTATCACTGACTTTGATGAATGCCATAAAGACTTAGAGGTGACATTCTATGAAGAGCCAAAGAGCTGTATTGAAGACTGAGGCTTGAGTCCCACATGTGACCAAAGACCAGTGTTGGGTCAGGTTTCAGACCTGCACATAAAGTTACATGCTGCGTGTTCTACCTTTACTTTCCTCCTATCCACAGATCCTCCATCATGGGAGAGCGGCCAGCGTTACGTCTTCGACTTATCCAGCCTGGCCAGGATGGAAGAGCTGGTGGAGGCCGAGCTGAGAATCCTCAGGAAGCCTCCGGCAGACCTTCGACCCACCCTAACAAGCGGAGGAAACCTTTACGACATCCGCCTGTACTCCTGCTCTTCGGAGAGACAGTTGCTGGACTCCAGAACTGTCGAGGTTTTGGGTGGTGGTCTTCCCAGGTGGGAGGTGTTTGACGTGTGGTCTGGCATGAAGGCCCATCTGAGGAATCCTTTGGAGCCACAGCAGGCCTGCTTCCATCTCCTGGCCTTCTCTGAACTGACCAACAAGGTGGCTGACCCGCTGGTCCTGGGGCTGGGTCGCACCCCTTGCCCAACCCAGGAGAAAGCTTTGCTGGTGGCTTTCTGGCATACCAACACTGCCGACAGTCTTTTCGGAGAGGTGACGCACAGGATGAAGAGCGAGGGCGGAGGATTTAGCCTCCCGAAGCCTCCGAAACTTATTCCAAAACACGTAAAGAAGAACCGCCGGCATCGACAGAGAGCTCTGTCCAAACGATCCTTCGGTGGGGCAGCGAGAGGAGGCAGGAGGAGCCGCTGCAGCCGGAAACCGCTGCACGTGAACTTCAGAGACCTGGGCTGGGACGACTGGATCATCGCCCCTTTGGACTATGAGGCGCGCCGCTGCGACGGCGTGTGCGACTTCCCGCTGCGCGCCCACCTGGAGCCCACCAACCACGCTGTGATCCAGACCCTGATGAACTCCATGGACCCTGATCTCAGCCCACCCAGCTGCTGCATCCCCTCCAGTCTCAGCCCCATCAGCATCCTCTACATGGACTCAGCCGGCAGCGTGGTCTACAAGCAGTACGAGAACATGGTGGTGGAGAGCTGTGGGTGCCGGTAGCACACGCACAAACACAGGGCTCAGCTCGTGTACTGGTCTAAGATTAGAGCAACATCTGCAATGTTTGTGTTTTTGCTCTGGTCTTTGTGGCCAATCACGGCAGAACAAGCTGAAAATACGCCTCTGATAGATGACGATGCTTCGCCATCTGAAGTCGTGTTATCAAGTTATTTCTGCTCCATTTGCATATTTGTAACTCTCACTTCCTGCATTCAGATTTTTCTCAGCATGAACCAAGAAGCAAAGCTTTAGTCTCACAGATGCCCATCACCTCATTACATCTGACACCACATCTGGAATATTAGTTTGTGTTTATTGTTAGTTTACTGAACTCAGCACCAGCCATTCAGTCTATAACCATGAACCTGCCCTCACACAGCCACTTTTTACTGACTGAGAAATTAATAAATGGTTTTGATGCAACTGCTTCAGTTTGTGTTTTTATTCATACCGATCGGTGTTCAGTTCCAGCTGCATTAACATCACGTGATCTTCACCGTGAAGGACGTGCAGCCACAGCTATCCGCATGGTGATGAGCGCACGCCTTCATGTGCTCACCTGTAAAGTGGCCCGGTAGATACTGGTGCTCGGGAACTTTTCCAAGATTTTTAAGCTGGGAGGTATCGAGGACCCGTCGAGGTCGACCAGCGAGGAAATCGGAAAGATTGAAAAGAGAAATAAAATCTGCTCCGAGAACACAGAGTGAGGCTTTCACTGCTTCATGCTGCGACACACTTACAGGAGCCTGAAGTGGGATTAACTTTATCTTCAGACCTAACCTGAAGCAGTAACACGGCCTGTTGTAATCTGTGTGTTTAATAAATTAAGTTTTCATTTATTCCCACAATTATAAACAACAGTTAATATTACAGCAGTTATTTCACATGCATTAAAAATACTGTTCCTCACATCTGCGGCTTCATCTGGACTTCTTTGAAATTTCACTGTAAATTTTCTAAACTTTAATAAATGTTTGGTCTCTATGATGAGCGCCCTCATGCCATCGTTGTACATTTTTATGTGATTAGCCAGGATATAAGAGTTGGAAGCATGTGGCCCCTGAAGCCTGATGCTGTGTTTAGTGTTTTCACTGAGCACAAACTTGTACAGCTTCCACGCCTGCACATCTTATTACACAAAGACAACGTGAACCTCTGGTTCGGCTCTGTGGTCTCGTTACAAACGTCCAGCTGAGGCACCGAATGAAGTGTTTTGGTCACCGGGAACTCGGCTCCGTAAATCTTCACGGATCCATTCAAACACCATTTCGGCGACTTCTCGTCCGGCGTCCAGCACGAAGGCGTGACGGAAGCCGTTTTCACACAGCTTGAAGTCGCCGAGCGGAAAGTCCCGCTTGATGTCGTGATAATAGTGCACCGGGCACCAGTGGTCGGTCGCTCCGTAATAAAATATCAGCTGAAAGCACAGATAGACAGACAGACAGAGAGAAAAGGGGAAACGTGGTTTTAGAGGGCGTGATCAAAGCAGCGTTCCATGAGCTGATCGCCAGCCTGCAGCCAGCAGAGGGCCGATCGGCTCAGCGCAACCAGGGGAACAACAGGTTTGACCTTTGACCCTCAGAGTCAGACTGCCGACGCCGAGCTCTGCCATAACATCTGACAGGAGCGCTGGGAGCGGCGTCAGGTCATGAGGTCGGTAAAGTGTCCAAAGTGTACAGAACAGAGCAGTAAGTGAAGCGTGAGCAATCAGAAGTGCTGTCTTTAATAAAAAGGCGACATCACCTGCACGGGTATCTGGCTTACATTTTCATTCGCTCCTCTTGTAGGCGGGGCTTTTCTTACCTTGTCGAGATGTTTCCCGATAGTCGTGTCGTCTCTTTTTAGAACTTTCCTCATTTCCTGCCCGCCCAGGTACATGGCATTGGCTGCACGTGGAAACAAACCACAGAGGTTAAAGCTGGTCCGGCTCTCGCTGCAAACTCAACATTTCAAACCTCGGCTGTTAAATCTGAACCGCTGCCAGCCTGCTGGGGGAATTCTCATCATGCACTGAGCTCTTTCACTCCCTGTATATTAATATACAGCCACTGCATGTTGTAAATGTAACCCCCCCTCCACCTTTCTGCAGGCACCTCTGGTGCTGACAGGGTTTCTCTCCATAATTCTGTCTCTGTGTTATCACATAAAAGCTTCTTATCAAAGACAAATGTCTGCAGTCTGAAAAGCATCTGCCCTCGCTGCATATCTCACAGAAGAACGAAGCATGGCCGACCTGCAGAGTCTCCACTGAGCAGACCCAGGGTGGGCTGCACCACAGTGTGGTCCAGAGAGCGGATTCCCCCCAGCATCAGTCTGATGAGGCCGACTTTGAGCCTGTCGGGCAGCAGCGAGAGCAGGAAGAGGGGCAGGTAGACCACGTAACGCATGTGACACAGCACGGGGGTCATGACCTTCCCCTGAGGGCTCTGAGCCATGCGCTCGATGGTGGGAAACAGCAGCAGCGCCTTCAGGACCTGCATTAAAAACAGAGAGGAGACAGAAGGTTTCAGACAGACAACAGAAAGCTCCGAGACGGGAAGCTGCAAACTGCGGAAACTCCCGGATTAGAGGCAGGGGGATTTTCATGTCATTTAATCCGTTTCCTGAAAAAGTGATGGGAGGGAAGTGAAGGGAGGGCTCAGTGCCCTCAGCCAGGATCTCGCCGGGCGCCATCCGAGCTGGTCATGCGCCCCAAAGACAGAGTTTGTGATTCCAACAAACCCCCACAGAGCGCTCCGCGGTGTAGCAGGTACGCATTCACCTAACAAAGGCTAACAAACTGTTTGATCCTAGGAGGAGAGAAAAGAAGGGCGTGCCAAATCAAACATGTGGCACTCCCGCTGTGAACGACAGCAGCAGGCTAAGGATGAAATAAGCGACAATAAAAACATAAAGAGTCTCTGTTTCTGAACGACAGAAACCTCAGTGCGTGCTGTAGGCTGTGTGTTTTTGTGGATCGAGGCCAATTTGTGGTTTCTCCTCAGACCGGAGAACTGCGATGACTCACCTTCCTCTCAGGATTTCTCTTCATCATCTCCAGAATGATGTAGCAGCCGATGGAGTGACCGATCAGGACCAGGCTGGTTTCTCTGGGAACGTGATTCCTGAGGAAAGCCAGCTTATGTTCGACCTGCCCGTCCAGACCGAACACGTCGTCCTCCGCCGCTGAGGCGCCGTCTGCAATCGGAATAGAAATGTCAGAACACCCGAACAAATGGTAAATGGCCTGTATTTATATAGCATTTTACTAGTCCCTAAGGACCCCAAAGTGCTTTACACAACCAGTCATCCACCCATTTACACACTGGTAATGGCAAGCTATGTCGTAGCCACAGCCACCCTGGGGCGCACTGACAGAGGCAAGCTGCTCCTCTCTCCTGTGAGCAGAGCCGTGCGTACCTTCGATCATGTCCATGGAGGCCGGAGGAGCGCAGTGGCCGGCGTGGCTTACGGCCCACACCGGGTGCTGGTAGCCACACCTGCTGTGGAGCGTCTGCATGAAGGTCCTGTAGAAGCCCACCACACCTGGGTTACCTGTGACAGACAGCACGAGGTCAGCGAGGCCTGTGGTAACCATGGTAACCGCAAACCTGATCCAGAGCATGTCACAGTCCAAATCAGAGGACTGCCCTGTACTACAGTAATACTGCAGCTGTACTACAGTAATACTGCAGCTGTACTACAG